GCAGGAAGCAGAAGCGCCGACTGTCCCGGCCGGGCTTATGGGAACGCGGCCAGGGCAAGACCCGATGCGAGGGTGAACGAACTCCGGCCCAGGAAGGGACTGACTCAACACCCACCCCCGGCCGGGGCAGGCTGTTGACTCCAGCGGAGGTCAGGGACCAGAAGGCACAGCAGCCATGGTGCTCGCCTTCCCATCCCTGCAGGGGGTCGCAGGGGGAAGCGCTCCCCAGGGCCCCGCGGAGCTGCCGGGGGCTGCACGTCCCACCCCAGCGCTGCTCCCACTCCCCCGGCAGCAGCGTCACTGCTTACAGAGAGCAAGGCACTTCGCCCCCGAAATGCAATTCAATCCACCAAGCAAATGCTTTTGAAAACCATTTTTATTTAAATAAGACTTTAAATACATTACATAAAACATTAAAAATGAAACCAAAAATCTGTTACTTCACAGGGCATTAGGCAGCAGTTGCTAGCGACACATAAGCTCTGCGGCTCTATCTACAACGATACTCGTGACATTAGTCCAAAATTGATCCCTTGTCAAAAGTTTAACCCAAGGCGACGGTTCCTTCGAGTAGGCTAGCCCGGTATCTTGGGGCTTGCAGGGTACCAGCACCTGCCCGGCCTGAACTGCAGACATCCAGCCTTGACGTCACTCTTCAGTTACTCCTCTTGTTCAAAGTCAAGCTTCCCCAAATCCCTCTGCCACCAGGAGCCAGCACTGCCTGGAGGGAAGGTGCTATCTCCCCGTGCCATGTCACAGCTCGCGCTCGGTGCCTCGCTCCGTGTAGGACTGCGGGAGGCACCGCGAGATAAATTACCGTCCATGGGAATGGAAGAGCAGCTGGACGGAGGAGCGATCCGGACAGTCTCTGGACTGACAGGCCGAGTCCCTTGGCTTAACTTGGAACATCTGGTTACTTTTAGCTTCAGGCTGGACCATGCCAAACGCCCGATTTACCTCTGTTAAATGAGGGACAGCAAGACGAGATAGCATGGGCTCTTGTCAGTTTATTACATCACTGAATTACACTAGTCCAGACCGAACAGTGGACCCAAGATCATTACATTACACAAACCGGCTGGTTTTAAACTTATGACAAGGGACAGATGGGAATTTCATGGTAAGGAAATCTTCTTGCATAAAGCTTCAGTGACCCACAGGCACCTAAAACCCATGGACTTTCAGCTGGTCGTCTTTAGCCAGGCCAATCTGCAAGAAAGAAAATGCACTTTACGGCACACCGGGGCAGACAGGCCTCCGCGCGCGTCCGTACGCCACCCACGCTGCAGGCGCTGTGGAACCGCCAAATTTCTGCTCCCCCCCGAAGTACGGAATGAAGATTAGACTGCAAGTGCAAAACCCCGCTGGGAGGTATTCGCCTCCAGCGGGAATCCCAAGAAGAACGGAGAGAGCCTCCTCCGTCAGCCCGCTCTCTGAACGCTGGGAAAATGAGAGCCCGCGTGGTTGTTAAACCAGAGACTCGTGTTTACTTCAACGCTCAGCTAGCGCGCGCGCAGCGGGCCCAAGCTGTCCCACCTCCACGAGGAACTGGCAGATGTTCTTGCGCTGGTCACCCTGCAGCTGAATCACTTCTCCATATTCGGGGTGTTCAATTACAGTACCATTGCAGGCAAATTTCTGCAACGAAGAGAAAGCCCCCCTTAGCGCGGCACGCATCGCGGGCGCC